ACATAATTTGAGAATCTAAAATGTATGGTCAATGCTGTTACTTGAAACAAACCTCATAGTTTACAACTGGTGATCTCTGCACTAAAAAATGATCAGTTATGAATGATATCACCTTTTCATCTGCCCAAACGGCAGCAGGAATATTGATCAACTTATGAATATTATTATGGTCATGTTCATACTGTACCTTTAGAGCTCTTGGTCAGATTGCCTCTCCTTTGAAATCAACGACAAGTTAGTCAAATTTGGTCGTTATGAGTCTCAGATTGATGAAGGACTGCATAAGGTCATGCTGAATTACAAGGTAATGAGAACAGAAGAAATGCAATATCAATGCTGAAAGAACTCCCATCTGATCATTTCAATGCTGTTAAATTAAACAGACATGAGATGTAATGAAGAATATTTCAACACTCTGGTTAACAATAAGAGCAGTATTAAATATTCAAAATTGTTTGCATTGCATGCAAATTCTTCACTTCTTCCTGTATATAAGAGACAGTCCTTTCACTGTCTGACAGTCAAGCTGCAGCTCCTCAGCATAGTCAGTGAGCACCAGTACACCATGAATTATGTCAGCATGCTGGGATTTCTTCTGCTGGGACTTTCAGGTAAAATTGCTCCTGTTCTGTGTCGCTTGCTGTATGAGCTTCGTTCACAATGCTTGAATCTGATCTGATGTCTGTTTGTTCCCACAGCTGTTACAGCCCAGTCCAGCATTACACTGACCCAGCCTGCCTCTGCAGATTTGAAGAAGCCAGGAGAGTCTCTGAAACTGTCCTGCCAGGTGTCTGGATTCCAGATAGACAGCTATTGGAAAGGCTGGATCCGACAGGCTCCTGGGAAGGGGCTGGAGTGGTTGGCCAGGTATGTTAATGAAGGCAACAGCAAGTATTATGCCTCTTCAGTCCAAGGACATTTCACCGCCTCCATGGACACCTCCTCCAGCACCTTCTTCTTACAAATGAACGACCTGAGAGCTGAAGACACAGCTGTGTATTACTGTGCGAGAGACACAGTGACACGACTGAACCAAGAGGCCGTACAAAAACCTATCCTCAGCACTGAGCCCCTCTCCACACAACAGGAAACATCTGAACCACATGTTAATGATCATGGTGTTAAAATAGAAGAAGCAGATAGCCTTTGGGTTAAAATATTTCTGAAGAAATTGATCGAATCACTATCTTTCTAAACATCTTCTATATCACTGCTTTTACTTGTATACACACAACTTTTAACTAATCAAAATGTATGCACAGCCTAGATTAAGTATATAAACGCATGTGTGAAAGATTTTTCAGTGCTGCTGGAACATTAAAAGATTTTTACTACATTTTTGAGTAGAGAAACACTAGGTGGCAGAAGTCCACATGATTTTAAAGTATTTTAGTAGGATCCCAGGAGTTTACCTGGTACTTGAAAAAATCCAGTGTCCTCACAGGATGTACAGTTGTATAGCACTATTTGTTCTAGTATATAATATAGTTGTATTCATACTGTGATACTACCATATATTGAGATCATTGAAGGAGATACATTCAAACTGTATATCTGGTCTATTTTAATCACATATAAACCTTGAAACAGCCCTTCTATTCCAAAGGATTATTTAAAATACATTCTATCACTGTGGTGCAAATTCAGATCTTGTAGTAATCCAAATGTACATCAATTTGAGATTCATATTCTACTGTGAACAAAGAACACCCTCAGAAGCAACTTCTCCTTTATCATGGAGTGCGGCCATCATTACTATGAACTCGGAAACCTCTAGGGGGCGGCAAAAGCACAGGACAATATAACTCTCTCCATCCATTTTCTGACCACGTTATACAACTCAGAGTCATGGAGGAGCATCCTGGCACACAACTGACACAAGGCAGGATACACCATACATGTAATATCAATCTGCTGTGATACTAGTGCAGCGTCAAGGCAGGATACACCATACATGTAGCGTCAAACAATCTGCTGTGATATGAGTGCAGCGTCAAGGCAGGATACACCATACATGTAATATCAATCTGCTGTGATACTAGTGCAGCGTCATGGCAGGATACACCATACATATAACGCCAAGCAATCTGCTGTGATACTAGTGCAGCGTCAAGGCAGGATACACCATACATGTAACGCCAATCAATCTGCTGTGATACTAGTGCAGCGTCAAGGCAGGATACACCATACATGTAACGTCAATCAATCTGCTGTGATACTAGTGCAGCGTCATGGCAGGATACACCATACATGTAATATCAATCTGCTGTGATACTAGTGCAGCGTCAAGGCAACCTGAGAGCTGAAGACACAGCTGTATGTATGACACTAGTATCACAGAAGATTGATTGACGTTACATGTATGGTGTATCCTGCCTTGATGCTGCACTAGTATCACAGCAGATTGATTGACGTTACATGTATGGTGTATCCTGGTGTATCCTGCCTTGACGCTGCACTAGTGAGATGAAATTAATCAAATCATTGCTGTCAATTGGAAGATTTTCAAACTTACTGCATTTGTTTTACTTTAGCACTGAATTCTAATCAAAACTAATCAAAATGCATGTACAGCCTAGATGAACTATAATTATGTGCAAAATGATTTACAGTGCTGCTGGAACACCAAAGTTTTGTGCTGTTTTTTGCTGTTTTTAAACAGAGAACCGCTAGGTGGCAGCAGATCACATGGTTTTAAGGTGTCGTTGTACGAACCCTGGAGTTTAACCCGCACTTGAGAAATCATGCACAGAACAGCTGCAGTACATGTGTTAAGTGTGTTTATTCATTTTGAGACTTGGTTATTAAAGGGTATAGTCTGCCTAATCTCACCCACTTTTGGTGATTTACATATACGTTTTACACTTCTAGCTGACCCATTGCATTCTCATCCCTCCCTATGTCCCATCTTTGTCCTCATTGGGACCTCCATTACTGCAGGGGAGGATGGACAGTCCCATGCTTCCGGATGGGCTGTGTTTCTCCTCAGCCAGGCGAGGCACTCCAGTGAAGCTCACTATTCAATTTGCACCTCTCCCCCACTTTAAATGGAGTTTTTAATGAAAGTTCGGGAGGAATGAAAGCAGCCGAGCTCATTTGACACAGCTGCCACAGTTCTCACTAATCCTGACGTAAGCAACCGGTCTCCATATATATCAAACTTCACCCTCTCCTCTTCCTCGTTCGTTTTCTGCATCCCTCCTCCACCCCCTCTCCACCTTTGCAGCTACCCCATTGGTCGCATGGGGGTCCTATCCTCCCCGTCCAACGGCCGGGAGGTTGGCCCTCAGCCAAGCGGGTTACGCCAAATCTCCACATCTCAATAAATTATTCTAATTTCTCCCAAGCTTTCGGCTGTCGTCATTCCTCGTGAATTAGAGTTTGATCAGACTGCTGAAATTGCACTGCTGATTATGCAGGACTGTGAGAGCATTAAGATTCTCTGAGGTTCTAAAATCTGCTGAACTGTGAGAAATTCCAAGCTCGGATTCAGGAAAGCACATTGCAAACACATTGGATTGACGATGGACCAGAACATAGAAACCACGAACTGGAGTGTGTACCTGCCATTGCATAAGAGACACACTGTGAGGGAGGTGAAGTCTGCACTTTGGGTGAAGTGTCAGGATCGCACCACTGTGCTTGACCTGGTGTTTAAAGACAGATTTGGTCACGGTGATATCATGGTAGAAAGAAACGAGCTTGTTACGTGTCAACAGAAACGCTCTTAAAAAAAATAAAGTGCTTGACCTGGTTTACTACTATTTAAGTGTAGAGACCAGCCCCTCCCCTCCAGCATATGCAAACTCACCAAGCTCAGACTCCACTTATTCTCTGTCAGTGAGGAAACCTGAGCAGAGAGACGGCTTTGACTGGTGAATTTGCTCAGTCTTGTTCTGATATAACAGAAGATATTACAATGATTTAGTTTTTTTCATCAGTATTCCTTTTAGGAGCTATAACAGGTGGGTCTTTAATATTCCATTGTGTGTAAAATTAGTTTTGTTAACTGAATTAAAATGTGCATTAAAAAATGTCTTAATTATATTTTACTCTTATTCTGTTTCTTTAGTTCTGTATTCTAATTTCAATTTCTGTCTGATTTACAGGTGTCCAGTCTCAAATAACATTGACTGAGTCTGAACCTGCAATCAAAAGCCTGGAGAATCTCACAGACTCTCCTGTAAAGTGTCAGGATTCTCATTCAGCAGCTATGCTATGGGCTGGGTGAGACAGGCTCCTGGCAAGGGGCTGGAGTGGGTGGCGACAGTTGGCACACATGGGTATCCAGCTTACTATACCCAGTCTGCTGAAGGACGATTCACAGTGAGAGAAGTGAAGCCTGAGCCCTGACAAAATCCCTCAAGTGTAACAGGTTTCATTCACAAACAGGAAGCCTGCCATTACATGGAGGCTTTCACTTTTTAAAAAATAAACCAAACAGCTGAACTGAGAGTTTCCATAGGGTGAACATGTAAGTGATGTGACCACAAGTCAGCCAGCACATCAAGTTCTGAAACCTACATGAAATAAATATTTATATACATTTATGACCAATAAACAGTTATCTAGTTTCCTTAATTCTCAGTCATGATGTTATAAATTTCAAAACTAATTCAATCTGGGGTCACCATGTAGAATCTGACCTGGGTTACTTCCTGACTCTGGCCTGAGTACTTTTGAAGCAACAGACACCTGTTGTAGATGACATTTCAGTTTTCTAATCTCCTGAGAAAGTAAGCTCAGCCTCTCAGGGAACTTCTGGGAGGGAATCAGTGGTAGACATTGATATTGTGTGATTTGAATGAAAGTGTGTGGTTTCTACATCTGGTATGTAAAATGTTTCATCTAACTTAAGTGTTACTCTAATACAGGTCCTGACTATTGGTCCTTACAGATCCCACGACACTGTATATAAGAGTAGAGTTGGCCACCTTACAGACCCACTTTGATTTAGTAAGTAAAGCAGTTTCTCACTCCTCCCATTATCTCCTGTGAGTCTGCTTGCAGAATGGCACACTTTGTCACATTGATGAGGCTGCACTTGGGCACTGGGTGTAGTGGATCCCCTTTCTTTGTCTGAAGCTTACTTTGTAACCTGTATAAACACGCAGACACAAAACAGGACCTGAAATTCATTGATAAGTTCTATCAGTCTCATGTACTTAATTTCCTTTTTTATTCTCAGACACAAGTTAATACGTATGTACTATTGTGAACTAAACATCAAAGAAACATTTGGAATTACAGTTTTAATCTGGAAATTTCTAATGTGAATTAAGAATTTTATACTCAAAAATTCCTTTGGTCAGACATCCCTGATGAGTTAAGCTATGTGCTGGCAAGACAGAGCAGGGCAGGATTGATCTGTGATCTGACGTAGGGTTTCCTGGTGCTTGGTGGGCCTCGTGACATCCTTACCCTAATGATGAGCCCCAAGGACTGGAGGAGCTTCTCTTTCCAGCATGGAATAAACCTTTTCTTGTTCCTTTGCAGCCTACGCATGCTGACACAGCTACCTACTTGAAGATATTACCTCTGATTTGTCTCTTTCCAGGTGTCCAGTCTGACATTGTTCTGACCCAGTCCAGTCTTTGGGTTAAAAAGCCTGGAGAGTCTGTCAAACTGTCTTGTCAGGGATCTG